ATAAGTATAGATTGGGAAAAAGTAATATTAAGTGCCTCCTTGTGTAATGCAATAAGATATATACAATATCACCTATGTGATCAGTCAAACAGGATCACCTTGAATCGCATCTTGAAGAAACAATTAGATAAATTCAAATTGTGAGATATTTTTAAAAACAATCACCCGGCCTCTTCAAACTATGTCAATACATTAAAAAATAAATTGAGAGGACTGCCTTAGTACCTTTGGACTACTGTATCAAAATACTGTAAACCCTGTGGCTTTTAAACAACAGAAATTTATTTCTCACAGTTGTGAAAGCTGAGAAATCCAAGATCAAGGTGCAGGCAAATTTGGTGTCTATGGAAGGTCTGCCTTCTGGTTCATAGATGGCACCTTCTAGCTGTGTCCTTACAAGGTGGAAGGGGCAAGGCAGCTCTCTGGGACCTTTTTCATAAGGGTACTAATCCCACTCATGAGGGATCTGCTCTTATGACCTAATTACCTCCCAAAAGCCCCATATCCTAACACTATCACATTGGTGATTACATTTCAACATATGAATGATAAAGGGACACAAACATTCAGACTAGGCAGATAAACTGTTCTAGATTTAAGAGACTAAAGTGTTATACTAAATGCTATGCATGAACGTTGAATGGATTCTAGATTTAAAAACACACACAAAATATTCAATCCCACCTCAATGACATTTTTTGAACAATTGAAGAATTTTAAACATGTCCTATATGTTTTGACCGTAAGGACAATATTGTGAATATGAAGGAAAATGTCGTTTTTATGCATTCATCACTGAAATAGAGGTGCAATCTTTTGAGTAAGAAACGAAATCTTAACCACTAGTGAATCTAGGTGAGTGATATATGGGTGTTTGAACTTTTCTATAGGTTTGAAAGTTTTTAAAATAAAAATTGGGGGCCGGGCATGGTGGCTTATGCCTGTGATGGCAGCACTTCCAAAGACTGAGGTGGGAGGGTCACTTGAGCCCAAGAGTTTGAGACCAGCCTGGGCAACGTCTTAGAGACAGGGTCTAGCTCTATAAAAAAATCAAAACTCAGTTCGGCATGGTGATACACAACTGTGGTCCTAGCTACTTGGAAGGCTGAGATGGAAGGATCACTTAAGCCCAGCAGGTCAAGGGTGCAGGGAGCCATGATAGTACGACTGTACTCTAGCATGGGCAACAGAGTAAGACCCTGTCTCAAAAAATATTAAAATAAAATAAAGATGGGAGGCAAGATTTATGAAAAACAATTTTGAGAAATTTTAAGAAAGATAGTAAAATGTTACCTGTGAGAACAATTCCATTTTAGCTGAGCGTTCAAATCTGGTACTTTGCTTAATGATTAAAATGTATTGTTATTTCAAAAACTTTCCCCATTTTCATAAAGTTCTTCAAATATATTTCTATGTTCTATACAAATGAATATTTGCTCATCTATAAATAAAATTTAGAAAATAAAAGCCCATCTTCTCATAAAAAGTTATGGTAGGCATTTGTTTTTATCCATATAAGCATACTTTTTGCACCACTGCTTTTTCTACTAAGTAAGGGGTTAGCAAATGGCTGCCTATAGACCAAAATTGGCCCATGGCCTGTTTTTTTAATGGTCTGAGTGAGGAATTATTTTTATATTTTTTATTTTTTATTTTTATTTTTATTTTTTTTGAGACGGAGTTTCCCTCTTGTAAAGCAGGCTGGAGTGCAATGGCGCGATCTCGGCTCACCGCAACCTCCGCATCCTGGGTTCAAGCAATTCTCCTGCCTCAGCTTCCTGAGTAGCTGGGATTACAGGCACGTGCCACCATGCTCAGCTAATTTTTTGTATTTTTAGTGGAGGCGGGGTTTCACCATGTTCACCAGGATGGTCTCGATCTCCTGACCTCGTGATCCACCCGCCTCAGCCTCCCAAAGTGCTGGGATTACAGGCATGAGCCACCGTGCCCGGCTATTTTTATATTTTTTAATGGCTGGGGGAAAAATCAAAAGAATCATAAAATTTAGTAAAGTAAAAATCATATGAAATTCACTTCAGTGTCTATAAATAAAGTTTTGTTGGAACACAGCCTTGTTCATTCACTTACATATTGTCTATGGCTACTTTTGCCCTACAAGGGCAGAACCCTAATTAAACAAAATGCTTTTCATCCAAAAAAGAATTTAATTCTTCCCATTAGAAGATATGAATTAGGCCGGGCACGGTGGCTCAAGCCTGTAATCCCAGCACTTTGGGAGGCCGAGGTGGGTGGATCACGAGGTCGAGAGATCGAGACCAACCTGGTCAACATGGTGAAACCCCGTCTCTACTAAAAATACAAAAAAATTAGCTGGGCATGGTGGCACGTGCCTGTAATCCCAGCTACTCAGGAGGCTGAGGCAGGAGAATTGCCTGAACCCAGGAGGCAGAGGTTGCGGTGAGCCGAGATCGCGCCATTGCACTCCAGCCTGGGTAACAAGAGCGAAACTCCGACTCAAAAAAAAAAAAAAAAAAAAGAAGATATGAATTACAAAATTATACTCAATTATCATTTGAATAATATAATTAAATTGCATCAATAAAAATGTGCTTTTTCTTTTGTTATAAGTATGTTAATATACACTATGGAATACTATACAGCCATAAAAAAGGAATGAGATCATGTCCTTTGCAGGGACATGGACAAAGCTAGCAGCCATTATCCTCAGCAAACTAACCCAGGAACAGAAAACCAAACACCACACGCTCTCATAAGTGGGAGTTGAACAATGAGAACACATGGACACAGGGAGGGGAACAACACACACGGGAGCCTGTAGGGGGTGGAGGAGGGGAGGGGGAGCATCAGGGCAAATAGCTAATGCTTGTGGGGCTTAAAACCTAAATGATGGGTTCATAGGTGCAACAAACCACCATGGCACTTGTATACCTACATAACAAACCTACACATTCTACACACGTATCCTGGAACTTAACGTAAAATAAAAATTTTAAGAAACAGTTATCTATTCCTTGGAGTAATTGAACAAATTGTTGATTATGCTTTATCATTTTTTAAATGTACATTTTGTCTTAAAAATAAGTATGTAATATCCTCAATTTTGCCTCTTGGCCCATAAAAACCTAAAATATTTACTATTGGCCTTTTACAGAAAAGGGTTGCCGACCCCTAGTGTAGGTCATAACTTTTCTAAAGATCAAAAATATATTTTAGCTGGGCGCAGTGGCTCGCGCCTATAATCTCAGCACTTTGGGAGGCCGAGGCGGGTGGATCATGAGGTCAAGAGATCGAGATCATCTGGTCAACATGGTGAAACCCTGTCTCTACTAAAAATGCAAAAATTAGCTGGGCATGGTGGTGCACGCCTGTAGTCTCAGCTAGTCAGGAGGCTGAAGCAGGAGAATTGCTTGAACCCAGGAAGCGGAGGTTGCGGTGAGCCGAGATCCCGCCATTGCACTCCAGCCTCCAGCCAGGGTAACAGGAGCGCAACTCCGTCTTAAAAAAAAAAAATATATATATATATATATATATATATATTCTAAATTTCATTTTCCTGTGTGCTACCTGAAATAAGTATGCCATCAATCAACTTGTTAATTCAAGTTTACATCAGATACTAAATGGCTTAAATTTAGTTATCCAAGTAAGGCATATCCATTTCATTGGCCTATCAAGTAGTTTATAACTCCAAAAAAATTTTTATTTAGTTACAGAAACGCTACAGTACTTACTCTATGCATATAGTTTCACTATACATGTGACCATTCACATATAATACTCTCTGCTGTTTAACAGTTCCTAAATTCACATAATTTATGCATGGAACCAATCCTTATCCCCTTCAATCAAATTACTAAATTTTTACTTAGAGCAAATGATATAATTTGGTCTTATTCTATTTAATTTTCCCCATTTTGTTATTTAGAGTTCTAGCATCAGGAAGGTATCATTCTTAAGTTTTGGCCTGGCTGTCAAACCTGAGCAGATCAACTTAATTAGAGAGAACTAAGATGATGTTAATGCCTATTTACATTTTAAGATGAGGGATAAATGATCTTGTATAAAATGTTTGTCATTTCTGAGAGTGAGATATAATGGGTACACAGAAAGTGGTTTCCAAACTACAGAGTTTCTGAAGAAATCTCCCTAGATAGAAAGATCTGTCTACAAGATGTAGTGGGATACTTTTGTGTTTCTAGGTTGGAAAAGTCTGTGAATTTAATAATTAAAATCATGACTCTTGGCCGGGTATGGTGGCTCAAGCCTGTAATTCCAGCACTTGAGAAGGCTGAGGTGGGAGGATCACTTGAACCCGGGAGTTTGAGACCAGCCTCAGAAACAAAGTGAAACCTGTCTCTACAAATAATTATTTAAAAATCAGCCTACCGTGGTGGTGGGCACTTGCACTCCCAGCTCCTCGGGAGGCTGAGTTGGATCACCTGAACCCGGGAAGTCAAGTCTGCCCTGAGCTGTGATCCTTCTACTGCACCCCAACCTGGACGACAGAGTAAGATTCTTTCTTAAAAAAAAAAAAAAAGGGACAACTCTGTCCTTCACCTAGCTCAGAGACTGAGAAATTGATTCAAAAGAAGTTTTGGTGCTTGCCTCCCGTGTTAACAAGGGAGACTGGGAAATGATTAATTAAACGTATTTCCTCCACGAAGAGGATGGACCAGTTCCTTTTTTAGGAAGGTGAAAAGGAGGAGTGTTGGTAGTAGGGATCTTCCACAGAGGGGTAAAGTTAAGGAGACGGAAACGAAGGGTGAGAAGCAAAATGGTAAAAGGCGAAATTGAAGTGGGTGTTACAATAGTGGAGAGAATCATAGACGCAAATTCGTCCTTTTATGTTCCCACACGGCTCAGGTTGGGGAATGTAAGTCCAAAACACAAGCGTGCCCTAAGCCTATCCACCTCCCACAAGAAGCTTCCACTCAGCCTCGGCCGAGGCCGGCGCCTCACAGCGCACGCGCGGATTCCTTTTTCCTTTGGTGACTGACCGGAATCGGAAGCCGTGCGTGGGCGGCCGTTTCTAGTGCGCCTGCGTGGGAAGCCGTGTTTAGTGCGCCTGCGCGGCCGCGAATCCCTACCGTCCCTGTGTCTCCGGTAATCGCCCAGCGTTGACCGCTTGAGTCGCGGCTCATGCCCCCAGTTTCCCGGCCCGGCTATTCCGAGGACATCCTGAGCTCTCGTAGACGGCGACGCAGCTCCTCGGGGAGCCCACCATCCGCGCGGAGCAAACGTTCCTCTAGGGATGGCCGTTCGCGCTCTCACTCCCGCGGCCGTGAGGGCCTCAGGCCTCCTTGTAGTGAGTCGGGCGTGGGCGCTCTTGACCCCTTTTGTACCTCTGGGTCGCAGGAGCGGCCCCCAGGGCTCGGCACCTACGCTTTATCTTCCTCCTCGTTGACCTCGTATAGCGGATATCGCCACCGTCACCACCGCTATGCGGAAGAACGGCAGTGGGCGGAAGACTACGCGAAGGACAAGGAAGAGAGCTCTGGGCAGAGGAGGCTGAAGGAGAGAGAGAGGATTGGGGAGTTGGGAGCGCCCGAGGTGTGGGGCCTGTCTCCAAAGTTTCCTGAACCAGATTCTGATGAACATAGCCCAGTTGAGGATGAAGACGTAAAGCATAGGAAGAGCAGCAGCTCAGACTCCAGCGCGGAAGAAAATGGGAAAAAGAAGACCAGTCGTTCAAGGGACAAAAAAAAAAGAAAGAATAAGTTGTCTAAAAGAAAACATAGGAAGTCTTCTGATGATAGTGACAGTAACTCAAACCCAGAAAAGAATTCTAACTCTGATGCTAAAAAAAGAGTTAAAAAAGCCAAGAAGAAAGAGAAGAAAAGGAAACACAAAACAAAAGAACCCAAGAAAAAGAAGAATAAGAAGACTAAAAAGGAATCCAGTGGCTCAAGCTGTAAAGATTCAGAAGACGAGTTGTCTGAAGATACTTGGATGGAGCAGCCAAATACTGCAGATACTATGGATTTAATAGGTCCAGAAGCACCTATAATACATACCTCTCAAGATGAGAAACCTTTGAACTATGGCCATGCTTTGCTCCCTGGTGAAGGTGCAGCTATGGCTGAATATGTAAAAGCTGGAAAGCGAATCCCACGAAGAGGTGAAATTGGGTTGACAAGTGAAGAGATCGCTTCTTTTGAATGCTCAGGTTATGTCATGAGTGGTAGCAGGCATCGCAGAATGGAGGCTGTACGACTCCGTAAGGAGAACCAAATCTATAGTGCTGATGAGAAGAGAGCTCTTGCATCCTTTAACCAAGAAGAGAGACAAAAGAGAGAAAATAAGATTTTAGCCAGTTTTCGAGAGATGGTGTACAAAAAGACAAAAGGGAAAGATGACAAGTAAGGACTTGTTAGTTGCACAGCAGGACTTTTAACAACAAAAGTTTTATATGACCAAAAGTGGTAAAAGGTTTTACAGTGCTACTGGACTTAACGTAGTAAGTGTCTCAGGAAAAAGCTTCTTTTGAGATATCTTTAGCAGCTTATTTTTTTTTATTTTAGAAAGTAACAGTTTTAAAAATAGTCATTACAGGAGGGGAGTTAGTAAAAAGTGAATCTTTCGCCGCAGTCCCTGACACCTTTCTTCCAAAAAATATCTTTTTGGGTGTCTTCTATGCAGAATGTACATTCTGACCATACACAAGGGTATATGTTGCAGAATAAAGGTTAAGACCTATTAAAGTTTTTTCCTCCTGTTACTCTGTTTTGCCATTCATTTGCCCCTGGGGGACCAAAAGAAGCCCAGAAAGAACAAAAGGATTCCATTAAGTGTATACCTCTACTTTCAGTTAACAGGCTGGGTTAGAAAATATTTACTGGCTCTTGAAAAGTCTGGAAGAAGGATGGATTTCCTGCATGGCTTTAATTGAACTTTGGCTTTCTTCTCCACTTTCCTTTTCCAAGGGTCGTTTACCTTGGCCTGGTTTCCCTTATATAACAAAAGGGCTGTCAAACCTCCTGAGTTTGGTTACCTTTTTTTCTGGTCCACCTCTTGAAGAGAGAACATTTCTGAGTTGCCAATCCAAACAGGAATTCAGAGATTCACCATAATGGGATAAGCTTGGGCCACTTGCCCACTCAAAACAAGTGTTGTTGCTTAGGGAATAAAATGGCTTATCTGTGGAGTTGTAGACCAGTTGTACAGGAGTGGATTCTTGAATGAAAATCAGGTTGGGCAAGGGAGATAGACAACCAATAAATGCCTACTACAGTTTTGAATCATTTTTTTAAAAGCATATAGTGAAAGTACGTGTGTTAGAAGCGAAAATTTTCTTGTAGAAAAGCTTAGTTTTGACTACCAGAAGCCAAATCCTGATTTAAGAAGATACAAGCTTTATTCATAAAAAGATATAAAAGATGAATATCAGAGTGCTTGAGTAGATTTGGGCCATCTAGACTGGCCAGAGAAAGAAAAAATGATAAGGTATAAAGAAGAACACCAGGGCATTATGGCTTGCCTGTAATCCCAGCCCTTTGGGAGACTGAGGTGAGACAATTGCTTGAGGCTAGGAGTTCAAGAGCAGCCTGAGTAACACAACAAGACCTAATCCCCACCCCCACTCCCAAAAAAGAGCGATGTTAGATTTTGAAGGGAAAACGAGGGTTAAAGAAACACACCACACACACACACGGCAGTTCCACGGCAAATGCGGGATTTGTGTCTGGCATAACACCTACAGAGTTGGGGAACCAACCTAATGCCAGTGCCTACCATTGCTTACAGTCTGGGGTACATGTAGGCCTGAGCGGGAGGGGTCTGGGCAGTATGGCTTGCTGCCAGGGAAGATGTTGATAAGACATTTTGAGGCAATTTGGCTCTTGTTCCCACAGAATGTAATGTTCCTTGCACTTTTTGCCAGCACGGTACGAGAAAGGGCGGGCTGTTTCTCACTGTCCGAACACCCGTGGAATGTTTCACTTTGATCAAGGTTTGAGAAATGGTGGGAGACTTGCAAAATGATGCAGTTTGGATTAGCAAGAGAGAACCAGAGAAAGAATAAGGTAGTTGGCAGAACTCGAGGAGGAGACCAGATCAGGAGGGACCACAAGGACAGGAGAATTAGCATCGAGAGACTGGCTAATCTTTTTAGAAAACTCTTGAGTTTTGAGACAACTTCAGAGTGATCTCCATTAAAGGTCTATTAAAAGGCCTTTTTGTCATTCAATGATATGTGCCTGGCCCTTGAGACTTTAGTTTAACACGATCCAAACTATCTCATTTGAGTTAACCCCTTTTTCAAAGTTCAAAATACTGATTAGCTCCCGGAGAGTTGCAGGTGAGGAAATGGGGTTCTAGAATCTGGCAGGGCAGTGTGATGTGGAAGGGCACATTTACTCTTCCACAAGATGTGACATGGCTGACACTGGACCACACCAGCTTGAGATTTTCCCCAAAGGGGGTTGTGGCATATTGGTGATAGCCATGGTTACATGTGCATATTTCCATTTAGAACAAACCATACCACACTATACACATGGATTGACCCTTTGCTCCTTTAATACATCCTGGAGATGTTTTACATCAATACATATGACACTTTATTTTAAATAACCTTATGGCATTCCATTATATGAAAGCACCATATTTTGTTGGATGGTTAAGAGGTTTTTCTATATTATGCTATCACACAGCATTATAGTGAAAGCCTCTGTGAATATGACAGTGTATCTGTAGCATATCATCTAAAAATAGATGAATATTAGATCAAAAAGAATCTTTTGGATCATCTAGAAATGCCAACTTCAAAATAGAATTATTGAAGCAAGGAGAAAATGTCAGGTGCTTCCTATGTATTAGGCACTGTAGCTGGTACTGGGGATAAACCAAGAAACAAGTTAAACTTGCTCCTCGCCAACATAGAATTTTACATATTACTGGGGGAGACAGGCTCACAAATGCCGACAGACAAAAATTACAAATTATGGTATGATGTGAAGAAAGTCAGGGGCTACAGACAGTGTTGGGGAGAACTTTTTTGATAAAATGGTTAAAGTCTAAGAATGTCACATTTAAGTTCTGTGCGCTTTTCAATTTTAATAGACATTGCAACACCCCCTCTCTGTTTACACGCTCACCAACATCATCACCAATATTGTATTTTCAAACCTTTTGATCTTTCCCAATCTAAGGTGAAAATGACATTTTATTTTTTATAAGGTAGAGCATCTTTTCATAGATGTATTTATGAGTCTTTTGAAATTCTTTTTTGTGTATGTGAACTGCTCCTGTGATAACCTTTGTCTATTCTTTTATAGCGTTGTTGGTCTTTTTCTTACTGATCATAAAAACGCTTTAATAGATAAATTAGATCTTTATCAAATATCTTGCAAATATATCTCACTGTTACTTTTTTTTTTTTTTTTTTTTGAGACGGAGTCTCGCTCTTGTTACCCAGGCTGGAGTGCAATGGCGCGATCTCGGCTCACCGCAACCTCTGCCTCCTGGATTTAGGCAATTCTCCTGCCTCAGCCTCCTGAGTAGCTGGGATTACAGGCATGCACCACCATGCCCAGCTAATTTTTTGTATTTTTCGTAGAGACGGGGTTTTACCATGTTGACCAGGATGGTCTCGATCTCTCGACCTCGTGATCCACCTGCCTCGGCCTCCCAAAGTGCTGGGATTACAGGCTTGAGCCACCGCGCCCGGCCTGTTACTTAGTTTTGACTTGCTTTTCTGGGAGACACTTGACTATAATGCCCTTTAAGGCCTAAAAAGGTTTTCTAATAGTGGCCAAACAAATATCTTTATCTTTCTCACTTGGAAGAAGGTACAGCTGAGAAACTGTGACTTCTAAGTAAGCCAAGGCAAGATTAGTGAGCTTTTTTTCCCAGAAAGATAAAATACACACCGTACAACCAATAGTATTTCTAAGGCCTGCAGCGGAATACTCGTGATAGCTGTAATTATGCTTCACTTGCCATTTAATGTTGCTATTAGAGAAGAACTTGGCCAATACATCTGCCTTAGAAGACATTTCAAAAGTTGGAATCTGACTGCAGACCGCTGTTGTCTCAGGGGAGCTAATAAAAAGGGTTACAGCAACTTTTTCTTTGAAGTAGTTTTGCCCAGAGTATGTAGTTACTGATTGTGAAATAGAAGAAAAACCGCACAACAAAAATTTTATGTTATGTTTATGTTTCAGGAAACCATAAAAATCACTTTATTATTTCACTCTGCTCAAGCAGGAAGTTGAACAGATCAAATAACTTGTCTTAGCAACCGGAGTTACATTGAGTTTTACTCAGTGCTGAGAAACAGCCTAAGAAAGCAAATTAGTGACGCTACTGCCAATTTACAATTGATACATTTTATGGAATAGCATTAATGTTCTCATAGACCATTATTATATGGCTTTATGGAATTATCAAAAATAGTGTTTCACGAAATACAAAAATCTCCCACTGGCATAAGGGGTCTAATGGGTATTTCATGCTTGTTTTTTTTAAAGTTCTATAGCACAAGGGAAGGTGTTTCTTAACCTTAGCTACCAGCAGTTTAAGGAGTAAGAAATTATAGATTTAGCAAAATTGCTGCCTTTTTATTCTTAGCTTAATTAATTCAGCTAGATTTTAATCTGAATTTATGGGGGATATGTCTAAGATTTCACCATCAAATATAAAGGAGGTTTCTGGTATATTTGAGATGGGTTTATTTTTGCCTTATAAAGGAAGCATCCATCTATTTATTTTTTATTAGGAGTTTCCCCTTTTAGTCAGAAATATATGTTGAGTTTTATGAAATGACATTGTAGCATTTGTGGAGATTATATGATTTTTCCTTATCAGCCTACTAATATGGTGACTTAAAGTTACAGGTTTCCTAATATTAAACTATAGGTTAAATTTGTTAGATTCCTTTGTAGGCTTTGATTGTTTACAAGAATCACTGGACAAATAATTTATTTAAAAACTCAGAGTAATGAATGAGACCTTGCTGTATGGGTAGAAGCAGAGAGAAGAACAGGAAACATCATTAACTAAGGATAAGAACTGCAAATCTTATGCTGCAGCATGATGGCATGACTTGTAATGCGATAGCATCTCTATTGATGGTATGGAAAAGAAAGTTCTTCTCTTGAATATCCTATGAATGAATGTGGTAGAAACATGATCACTATAGTTTACAAAAATGAGGATAATCTTGGAAGATGAAAACCTCAAGTTTGAAAATTGATTTGTATTTTCTGTATATCGTCTGTCCTGATGATAATGGTGTTTTAAATTATTCTCACCTTATCTACCCCTACTGCTCCCAAAAGATACAAATGGACTGTTTAAATGAAAAATGCACACCTTGAGAATTTAAAAAAACCTCTTCTTTGTCTAGCTACTTTAAAGGTTTTGATTTCATGAGCTATCCAATGCAATGCCAATAATCTCAGTATTGATAATAAAAGTGACATATTTAAGAAACTAGTCAGGGTAGGGAGTTTTAGACGGGAAGTAAATACTAGGATATAGTATTTGCTTTCTATTTAAATTTTCTTTATGTCTATCCCTTATATAATTTTTGAAAAAAAAGTGCTTTTTAGATATTAAAAATAAGATATACGAGTTTTCTCTTCAAGAATTTGACTTCTTCAAGAAGTCAAGAATATTGACTTCTAATTAGTAATTTATGTTGACTAGATTTGTTGGCCTAATGAAAAGTTTATAACATTTAATTTTTACTTTAAAAATATGCTTTCAGGCCGGGCGCGGTGGCTCAAGCCTGTAATCCCAGCACTTTGGGAGGCCGAGGCGGGTGGATCACGAGGTCGAGAGATCGAGACCATCCTGGTCAACATGGTGAAACCCCGTCTCTACTAAAAATACAAAAAAATTAGCTGGGCATGGTGGCTCGTGCCTGTAATTCCAGTTACTCAGGAGGCTGAGGCAGGAGAATTGCCTGAACCCAGGAGGCGGAGGTTGCGGTGAGCCGAGATCGCGCCATTGCACTCCAGCCTGGGTAACAAGAGCGAAACTCCGTCTCAAAAAAAAAAAAAAAAAAAAAAATATGCTTTCAAACACACATTCAGACACCCAAGAAGAAAAGATAACTGCTTGTGATAATGAAACTGGTTGATTTTTCTTTTCTGTTATGATCATTTCAATGCTTGAAACACTGAATAAATTACATGTCATAATATAATGGTTTATATATTTAATATTTCAAAGTTTCTATCAACTGATAAACAGAAAAATTTGTTAAGATTTTTTAAAAGAGTTCATTTTTTTTTCTTTCTTCCAACTTTTGTTTTAGGTTCAGTGGGTACATATGCAAGTTTGTTACATGAATAAATTGCAACCCCAGTACTGCTGTGGTTTGGTGTATGAATGATTTCGTCACCGAGGTGGTGGTGGTAGCATAGTATGCTTTTCAATCTTCACTTTCCTTTCACTTTCCACCCTCAAGTAAGTCCTTGTGTCTGTTGTCCCCCTGCTTGTGTCCATGTCTACTCAATGTTTAGCACCCCCGTATAAGTAGAACATGCAATATTTGGTTTTCTCTTCCCGTTAATTGGCTTAGGATAAATGGCCTCCAGCTGCATCATGTTGCTGCAAAGGTTGTGATCTCATTCTTATGGCTGCATGATATTCCATGGTGTACGTACCACATTTTCTTTATGCAGTCCACCACTGATGGGCATCTAGGTTGATTCCACATCTCTGCTATTGTGAAAAATGCTGTGATGAACATAAGCATGCATGGGTCTTTACGGTAGAACAGTTTATATTCCTCTGGACGTATACCCAATGATGGAATTGCTGGGTGGAATAAAAGTTCTGTTTTAAGTTCTTTAAAAAATTTCCAGGCCGGGCGCGGTGGCTCAAGCCTGTAATCCCAGCACTTTGGGAGGCCGAGGTGGGTGGATCACGAGGTCGAGAGATCGAGACCATCCTGGTCAACATGGTGAAACCCCGTCTCTACTAAAAGTGCAAAAAATTAGCTGGGCATGGTGGCGCGTGCCTGTAATCCCAGCTACTCAGGAGGCTGAGGCAGGAGAATTGCCTGAGCCCAGGAGGCGGAGGTTGCGGTGAGCTGAGATCGCGCCATTGCACTCCAGCCTGGGAAACAAGAGTGAAACTCCGTCTCAAAAAAAAAAAAAAAAAAATTTCCAAATTGCTTTCCACAATGGCAGAACCCATTTATATTCCCACCAGCAATGTGTAAGTGTTCAAAGAGTTTATCTTATACAAAAACTATAAAAACCCAGTTTGTGATACTGTGGGCAAGACAGAGACTATTTCTGATTTCTGTTGTAGAATTTATTTTGATAAAATGATATCTGTTGCTTTTATTCACCCTGAAGCCTACATTCATTGCAAAATGTTGTTGATTTATTTTCTCTCATAGTAATAGACTTAATTTCTTATTACCTTTAACCTTTCAGTCAAACATATGTCCACTGTTTAATTTTCAAAATACTTTGACAATTATTTTTTCCATTGATGAATTTTTTAATTGGGGAAAAAATGGCGAAGTTTGTGTTTTATTTATGTGAGCAAAGTGAAAACGCTGGCTGTGATAACACTCAACGGAGCTGGCCTGTTTTTACATGAATAAAATAAACATCGGCTTTAAGAGAAAAGAAAAACCAACAATCTCAGCTCACAAGGAAATAACTCTAGCAACCATCGGACCTCTCTGCAGGCTGGGACTTAACCCATTTCTGCGAGGCCTAAGCGGCGGCACCACCGAGCCACGGTCCTCCAGAGTTCCTAGAGCGGAGAAGAAAATGCTCCGAAGGGCTGGAGCTGACCCTCGGCGATGCGCTAAGACGCTGTTTCCGAGCGTCTGGTCTTTCTGCGACCCCCTCGGCCAGGTAGGCGGACTCAAGTCGGGCTCCGGGCTGGGGCAGAACTGCGGCCTATGGGTCTGAGGAGCAGCTGGTTCCCCGCGGATGCTGAGAACGTTCCCTCGACCGAGGGGGCGGGGTCCGTGGCGGAGGTGACGGTCCTGGGGCCTCGAGTGATGAAGCTGTGGACCTAGTTAACCGAGTACAACCTCCTGTTGCATATTTTTCATCCGCTGAGCGCAATTTTAAGTAGGTATTAAAGGTAGGCGTCACCGAGAAGGTAATATTTGAGCAGAAATCTGAAGGAGGTGGGTGGAAAGACCTAAGTGGCTTTTGCGGGCAGGAACTTTCTAGGTAGACGGAATAGCAAGTGCAAAGGTCCTAAGCAGGAGTTTGCTTGTCGTATTTGAGGAATAACGGGGAGACCAGAGTGGTTGGAGCAGTGAACAAAGGCGACCTTTGTACGGAGTGATGTCAGGGAGATTGGGATGTGGAGAGGAAGAGTGTAGACTAAATGAGCACTGTATCGTAAGGAATTTTGTCTTTTTTTGGTGTGTGTTTTTGGAGGATTTTGAGCAGAAGAAAGCATGATCTGACTTCTGTTTTAAAGCATCTTTACCTGGAGACTCATGATGATAATAGATTGTAAGTGGGCAAGGATGGAATCAGGAAAACTTAAGAGTAATTTTTTTAAATTGCAAGTCATTCAGGTGGGAGATAGGATATCTTGAGCCAGTGGTCAGAGTATTGATCTACTTTGAAAATAGAGCCAGTAATACTTGCTACTGGGTCAGATGTAGGGTGTGACAGTAAGAGAGAAGGCAAAAATAAATCCAAAGTTTTGGGCTTGTGGGTGCAAGAGATACTGGAGGGTAGATCTGAGGTTGGGCTTTGGGACCTTGTGTAAGTTCCTCAACTCTCCACGTCTCAGTTTCCTTCTCTGCACGATGAAATTAGGAATAGTATTTTTTTATAGGGTTGTGTGAGGATTAAATAATTAATATATGTGAAACATGTAGTATAGTTGTCCTAGCTCATTGTTTTGTTATGCTGAGTCATGAAGTGTGAGTAGGCATTAACAAGAAGATTGGAGGGCTGGAGGGTGGGTCCAGGCAGAAGGAATAAGCTGTGGAAGGGCCAAGGAGCAAGAAAAGGAGTATTGCAAATTTGAGGAAATAAAGTAGTTCATTAGATCAAAAACTAATTTAAACCATATTAAATGGTTTAAATTTGAACTTGATCCTAAGGGTAATAATGAGCCATTATATGTAACAGGCATAGCAGGGACATAATAATATTTCATATCCTCTTTAGAATGATCACTGTTTGCCTGTGGAAAACAGATTGGTGTGTCAGACCGTCTGTCACAGTAGTCTGGTAGGAAAAGATGATGGCAAAGGGGATGAGAAGTGATTGATTTGAGAGAAAATTAAGCAGTAGAATTATTAGAACTTGATTTATCAGATACATGAGATATGAAAGAAGGAAACAATGGTCAGTTTTCTGGCTCAAATAGCTGGGTAGTTGGAGCTCCTCTCAAAAGAGTTTATCAAATTATTTGTTACATATTGTGTTTGATATATTTTATCACATTATAGAAATGAACTCACTAATTCAGCATCATACCCAGTCAGGCACAGTGGCTCATGCCTGTAATCCTAACACTTTGGAATGCCGAGGAGGATGGATCACTTGAGGTCAGGAATTCGAGACCAGCCTGGCCAATATAGTGAAACACTGTCTCTACTAAAAATAAAAAAATTAGCTGAGCATGGTGGCAGGTACCTGTAATCCCAGCTACTTGGGAGGCTGAGGCAGGAGAATCACCAGAACCTGGGAGGCGAAGGTTATAGTGAGCCTCTGCCCTCCAGCCTGAGCAGCAGGGGGAGACCCGTTTCAAAAGCAAAAACAAAAAAAAAAAATCATACCATGTATATATATAGATATATCAGTGTCATGCCATATATTTATTTATATATATACCAGCACTAATATAGATATCAGTGTGTGTGTATATATATGTATATGGCCTAGATATATGCCAATATTGGTATAGATACCTATACACATAATATAAATACAGGTATATGTATAAAATATGAGTACAGGTGTATGTATATATGCAAGTAATGCAAATTATATATATATATATACACACACACACACACACACACATATGCCTGTATTCATATTAATATTTGCGTAAGGATATCTATATCGGTAAAGAAGCAATCTAGAAAGAGATTTATTATAAGGAATTAACGTAGGTCATTGTGGAGGCTGGAAAGTCCCAGTATCTTCAGAATGAGTTTTCTAGCTGGAGACTCAGGAGAGCAAATGGATTAGTTCCAGTTCAAGCCTAAAGGCCTGAGAACCAGGAGAGCTGATAGTGTAGTTCGTGTCCAAAGGCCATAGGCTTGAGGTTCACGAAGAGCTGTTTTAGTTCGAAGTCTGATGGCAAGAAAAAAGTGGTGGCTCACTCCTGTAATCCAAGCACTTTGGAGGCCAAGGCGGGTGGATCACCTGAGGTCAGGAGTTCAAGACCAGCCTGACCAACATGGTGAAACCCTGTCTAATTTTTATTTATTTATTTATTTATTTATTTATTTTTAGAGACAGAGTTTCGCTCTTGTTATCCAGGTTGGAGTGCAATGGCGCGATCTCGGCTCACCACAACCTCCGCCTCCTGGGTTCAGGCAATTCTCCTGCCTCAGCCTCCTGAGTAGCTGGGATTACAGGCACGCGCCACCATGCCCAGCTATTTTTTTTTATTTTTAGTAGAGACGGGGTTTCACTATGTTGACCAGGATGGTCTCGATCCCTTGACCTCGTGATCCACCCGCCTCGGCCTCCCAAAGTGCTGGGATTACAGGCGTGAGCCACCGCGCCCGGCACCGTCTAATTTTTAAATTAAAAAAAAATTTAAAAAGAAAAGAAAAAAGCTAATGATTCAGTTTGAAACACATCAGACAGGGAGAATTCTCTTACGCAGGGGTGAGTCAGCCTTTTTTGTTCTAGTCAGACTTTTAACTGCTTGGATGAGGCCCACCAACATTATCGAGGGCGTTCGGTTTTAGCCTACAGTCCACCAATTTAAATGTTAATCTTATCCAAAACACCTTCACAGAAACGTCCAGAATAATGGTGACCAAATAATCTGAGCACCCTGTGGCCCAGTTAACACATAATGTTAATCATTACCATACCAATCTTTTATTTTCTGGCCAATAATCATCACCTTCTTGGACTTTTTTTACTTCTATTAGGAATACCAGGAACTGGCTTTTTAAAGTGTAAGTTCATTTTGACTAAGAAAAATAATTATCAGCTGGGAAGTATTGCTACGTATACCTTCAGGAATATATATATATCAACAGAATATTTGAAGGCTTAGCCACCGGTTGAGTGAGCCTTTCCCTGTTCTCCCACTTACCACATGCACATTGATTCAAAGGCATGTATCAGCATATGACAGATGGTATGTCACTGATCTATAGGGTCAGTCAAGCATAGTCAGAATCAAGAATGCTAAATCCCCACATACCAAGGGCCTGCTCCAGAGGATGATAGGGAATTGTCTGAGTTCATTTTTGACATGTTGGGTTTGAGAGGCTTCTATAGGGTATCCTGGCCCCAAATGGGCAGAAGGAAATTCAGGTCTGGCACTTGAGATACCAGACCTGAAGAATAAGGAAATCATCAGCATAATGATAGTAATTGAAGTCACAAACAATACTTAAACTCTAATTAGCCCTTTCTAGTTTCTATCTACCCTGCCTCTCTTGTTCCATCAATGTATTCCTTTTTTGAAATTTGTAATTTATGCTCACTCTGTCCATTTTCTCACTTCCTGTGACAGACTAGCTATTCTCACTACCAAAATTACCTTAACAGAGGTCACCAATTACATCTTTGTTTTTGAATCAAGCATCTATGCCAGGTCTTAGATTAATCCACCATCTCTTGAAAACTGTGTTCATATCATTTCACTTATAATCAGTGAATTCCTTGTATTCTTTAAAATTATCTCATTTACCTCAAAACTTCTGTGAATTAGGTATTATCTTCATTTTACAAATGAGTAAACTGTGTCCAAAAAGATCAGTAAATTGCCCAGGTCACAACATGTAAGTGACAGGGCTCCGTTGGAACCCAGGCCTGCCTAAGGCCCAGGGTCTCCCCACCATTCCACATTTAGAGAAATAGACCTCCTTGGTCTTCTGGATACTATTGCCTTTATTCTCCTCCTACCTTTCCAGTTTTATCTCACTTCTCTTCCTTACATGTAGATATTTTCCAGGATTCCAAGTCCATATAACCTTTTCCCAGCCATAACTAACTACTGTACTGAACTTCCAACAGCTTTGTGCTCTTCTTCTCTGTCTGAAAAAGCTTTTCCTATTTCCTTGTCTGACTTTCACTTGTCTACTTTATTTCCTTTTCTTTTTCTTTCTATTTTGATATAGATGTTGCTGTGATTGCCCAGGCTGAACTCAAACTCTTGGGCTAAAGCAGTTCTCCCTCCTCAGCCTCCCGAGTAGCTGTGATTACAGGTGTATGCCGCTGTGCCTAGCCAGTTTTTTTTTTTTATTTTGTTGTAGAGACAGGGTGTCACTGTGTAGCCCAGGCTGACCTCAAACTTCTGGGCTGAAGCATTCTTCCCACCTCAACCTCCCAAAGTGCTGAGATGACAAGTATGAGCCACAGTGCCCAGCCTCAGTTATTTTGAGGGCTACAAAATGGTGATTTTTCAAATCTGTTACTCCTTCTACATTAGCTGGTATTCTTCTGTAAAACAGTTTTTTCCTTCTGTATGTATATTTAGAAATGGTTGTTTCAGAGAGAAAAAATGGATGATAGGAAAGGTATAAACCCAAGAAAATGTTATTGTTCTTATTAGCAGTACTATTACTGTTTCTGTTTTTCATGTTACTATATTTTTAGGAGTATCCCTGAAGATACAGTCCAAAGAAAATTTTCCAAAACAGGGAGAGCAGTCTGAAGCTGGGGATGGCGACAGCATTGGTGAGTGCCCATTCCCTGGCTCCCCTGAATCTGAAGAAGGAGGGGCTTCAGGTAGTGAGGGAGGATCACTACTCTACTTGGGAAGAGGGATTCAAGCTGCAAAGAAACAGTAAAGGCCTTGGACAGGAGCCATTGTGCAAACAATTCAGGCAGTTGCATTATGAAGAGACCACAGGACCTCGAGAAGCACTAAGTCGGCTCAGGGAGCTCTATCACCAGTCGCTACAGCCCGAGACCCATACCAAGGAGCAGATCCTGGAGCTGCTGGTCCTGGAGCAGTTTCTGACCATCCTGCCTGAGGACCTCCAGGCCCGGGTGCAGGAGCATCACCCAGAGAGCGGGGAGGACGTGGTGGTTGTTCTGGAGGATTTGCAGCTGGATCTTGGAGAAACAGGACAACAGGTGGTAAGGGTCAGATGTGTTCTTTTTCAGGAATGCAGGAATTGAGATCTCTGGCCAGACAGGTGGACTTGGGATCTTCAGCAGAAGGAGAATTACTAAGCTTTGATTCCATTTTTTTCCAGTCTAGCTATTCATTTCTATAGGTCTTACCTCGACCTTTCCTGGCCCTTGCTGGGAGAAAACTGAATGTGCACCAGATTCCCCATGACCTTCTTTGCGTCTCTGGGGTTTCTCTTTGTTCTCTTTTTTAACATCTAGTTGTTTTTCTGAACAGCAGTTTCCTAAACCCACATATATCTAATTATGTTTACGTATACCTAATTGTCCCTAGGACCCAGACCAGGCAAAGAAGCAAAAAATGCTTGTGGAGGAGATAGCCCCTCTGAGAGGACTGCAGGAGCAGCAGGTTCGGCCTGAGTGTGAAGTTAGAAAGCCTGCAAAAGAGAAAGGTAAGAACTGGATTGTATCTTCTGGTGTGTGAAATGCGGTGGACTGTGCCTTTCCTTCTGAGGTTCTGCTCAGCACCCTTGTATTTTTGCTTTTTTGTTTTGTTTTGTTTTGAGTCAGGTTTACTGAAGCATAATTTACATATGGTAAAATTCACTCTTTTTAGGTGTACAAGTCAATGAGTTTTCACAAATGGGAAATAATTATGGTCTAATCAGGACCACTATCAAAATATAAGAGATTTCTATCACCCTAAATATTTTAGTTGAACAAAATAGCAAGGAAAGGATACAAAAGGAATCTGGACCTTCACTTTGCTTTTCTTCCTCTTACTGTAGGTGTGAATTAAAAAAATAATGCTAGGCCAGCTTCTTGGGAAGCCAAAGCAGAAGGATCGCCTGAGCTGAGTTCAAGGCTGCAGTGAGCAATGATTTTGCCCCTGCACTTCAATCTGGGCAACAGCTCTTAAAAAAAAAAAACAAGTAGTGCTACTTTCTCACTCAAGGCAAAGAATCCTAGCTACATGCTTCAGTACTCATTTTTTTCCTTACTTCCTTCAAATTATTTAAATGGCTACTGTCTTTCATTTCTAAATGTCACCTGGATTTTTTTTTTTTTTTTTTTTTGGTTCTGTATTTTCTTTTTGGTTATTGTCATTGTGTGGAGACGGAGTCTTGCTCTGTTTTCAGGCTGGAGTGCAATGGTGCAGTCATAGCTCACTTGACCTTCCGGGCTCAAATGATCCTCCCACCTCAGCCTCCCAAGTAGCTGGAACTGCAGGTGTGTGTGCCACCATACCTGGCTTTTTATTATTATCATTATTTTTTGTGGCGACAATGTCTCCCTATGTTGCCCAGCCTGGTCTTGAACTCCTGGCCTCAAGCAATCCTCCAATTTGGGCCTCTCACAGTGCTGGCTTTATAGGTGCGAGCCACCTCACCCAGCCTCCTTTATTTTCTTTGTCACTGAAATTCTTCTTCCTAATTTTTGTTCCTTACATTTCTTTCTTTCTTTGTTTTTTGTTTTGTTTTTTGTTTTGAGATGGAGTCTTGCTCTGTTACCCAAGCTGGAATGCAGTGATACATTACTGGCCCACTGCAACCTCCACCTCCCAGGTTCAAGTGATTCTCCTACCTCAGCCTCCTGAGTAGCTGGGATTACAGGCATGTGCCACCATGCCTGGCTAATTTTTTTGCATTTTTAATAGAGACGGGGTTTCGATATGTTGGCTGGGCTGGTCTCAAACTCCTGACCTCAGGTGATCCCGCCCACCTTAGACTCTCAAAGTGTTGGGGTTACAGGCATGAGCCACCATACCCAGCCTTCATTTCTTCTTTCTAGTCTGATACGATCCCTGCTGCTTCTGTCTCTTCATTTTTATTTTGTTGCTTTAGTGTCATCTTGGTACTTGCATTGAAGTAAAGTTACCTCCTGTTCAATCTTCATTATTTAAACACAGATTCGATAATGTTTCTCCCCTCTTTAAATCCCTTCAGGAAGCTGGGTTATGTTATCCATTCCACCTTTTTTGGTCTTGGGAAAATTCTATAATAAAAAGTAAAAGTAAGAAAAAACCACCACCTTCAGTGACTCTCGATAGCCATTAATAAAGACCTCACATGGCATGTATCTGGCATGTGGTTACCTTCATTTTTACTAGCATAATCAACTTGTCCCACTTTTCTTGAGACTTTTAGCTGACAGTTCCACATCCTGGGAATTCCCTCAGTCCTATAGAAATGAGGACAGTTAGTCACCCTGTGTCCCACCTGCTCACACTATGTGTTCCCATCATGCCAAGCTATGGTCCATTTCCCATTTGCTCCTTATAGTTTCTCTTCTGAGCTTCTCCCGCCTTGTTTCTTCTGTCTGGGACATGTTCTCCTCACTCTCCCTGACTGTTTCCTGCTCATCCTTCAGGACCTATCGTAAGTTCCCCAAGACTGAGTTAGTTTCCCAGCCTGCGCTACTAGAGCTCCAAGTTTTCTTCTGTCATAGAACTGATTACATTGTATTGTAGTTTCTAGTTTTCTTCTCTTTTTCTCTTGCCAGACTAAAAGGGAAGGGGTTTTGTTTTGTTTCCTGAGTCGGCTACAGTCCCTGGCTTAGTGTAGACCCTCAGTAAATGTCTATTTGATGAATGGCTAGTTTTACATCTAAAATCATGCTTTACATGCTACCTACTCTTCTATTCAATTTCCAAGTTAGTTTCAAAGCTGCCTTTCTTCTGGAAGCATTCTGAATAAAGTAGCTAAAAGATAGGGGCCTACCTTTTCTGAATAGCCTTGCAGAAATGAATTTGTGTCATGTAATCAGTGATGGGTATATAGTTTAAATACAAAAAGTGTATGTGGCTGCCCTGGTGGTTGACGCTTGTAATCCCAGTACTTTGGGAGGCCCAGTGGGGAGGACTGCTTGAAGCCAGAAGCTTGAGATCAGCCTGGGCAACATAGTGAAACCCTGTCTCTACAAAACACTTGTTTAATGTCTGTTATGTACCAGGCTTTGTGCTAGAGAAAACAAAGTCTGCTTTGCATGTGCTTACAGTATCTTGGGCGTTGGGGGTCTGGGGAGCAGGGAGAGAGATAGACATGAATAGATTATCACAGCATTGGGATATAAAAGCTCTCTTGAACCACACAGGAGAGCAGTTACTGCTGTCCAAGGAGATCAGGAAGGGCAAAGGCATTTTTGTGAACTTCATGTTATTGTCAAGGTCTTATGGTGGAATATTCTTTCTTTATTGATAAGGACACAGAGCCCAGAGAATTTACTTTACTTTTTTAAGATTACATAGCTAGTCAGTGATAAAATTGGCACCACATCTACATCTTCATTTTCAGTTAAAATGCCATCCCTTTCTTATGGGCCCTGGGGCCTCGATTAACCTAGCTTTTTAATTTTCTGTGTGACAAGTTATCTTCAAGATTGTACAGCCATGCCCTTTAAGACAGTTTATTAGATTGTACAGCCATGCCCTTTAAGACAGTTTATTTGCTTGCTTGCTAGCTTCTCTGTGTGTGGTATCACTTGATAAAATTTAAACTATTTAACATAAGTCACCTCTTACCAGAATTTCCTATCTTCCCCCAAAGGCAGTCACAGTTAATAGTGTGTTATGTACCATTCCATAACTATTTCATATAATCACAAGCATCCACAATGTTTTATTTTATACACATGGCTTCATTTAATTTTTTTTCCTTTTAGTTGCAGATTCTTTTCCACAAGCATCAAAAGTCAAGTAATTGGTGGTATATATTTAATATTACAGATGAGGAGACAAGGATTGAGAATGGGAAGCTTGTTGTAGTTACAGACTCTTGTGGAAGAGTAGAGTCATCTGGGAAAATATCTGAACCTATGGAGGCTCATAATGAAGGCTCTAACTTGGAAAGGCAGCAGGCGAAGCCCAGAGAGAAGACTGACTATGAATGCTCAGAATGTGGGCAGGGATTCATCCAGCAGTCGGACCTGATTGAACATGTGAGTACACACACAGGAAAAAAACTCTGCGAGTCTGATGTGTGTCAGAGTTCTAGCCTTACAGGACACCAGAAAGTCCTCTCTAGAGAGAAAGGTCATCAGTGTCATGAGTGTGGGAAAACCTTTCAGAGGAGTTCACATCTTGTCAGACATCAGAAAATCCATCTTGGTGAGAAGCCTTATCAGTGCAATGAGTGTGGCAAAGTCTTTAGCCAGAAAGCAGGCCTTTTGGAACATCTCAGAATTCATACTGGAGAGAAACCTTATCTCTGTATCCATTGTGGAAAAAATTTTAGGCGCAGCTCTCACCTTAATCGACACCAGAGAATTCACAGTCAGGAGGAGCCCTGTGAGTGCAAGGAGTGTGGAAAAACCTTTAGTCAGGCCCTACTCCTCACCCACCATCAGAGACTCCACAGTCACTCCAAAAGCCATCAATGTAACGAGTGTGGAAAAGCTTTCAGTTTGACCTCAGACCTTATTCGACATCACAGAATTCATACTGGAGAGAAACCTTTTAAGTGTAACATATGCCAGAAAGCCTTTCGACTAAACTCACACCTTGCTCAGCACGTAAGAATCCACAATGAAGAAAAACCCTATCTGTGTAGTCAATGTGGAGAAGCCTTCAGGCAGAGGTCCGGTCTTTTTCAACATCAGAGATATCACCACAAAGACAAACTGGCTTGATGAGGTGTTCTCTCCTTGTAGAACATCAGAGAGGGCACATTGACTAGCAAACAGCACTTTAGGAAAAGTCACCATAGCCCACGGTGGCATCAGAAAATTCTTGGGGGTGAGTCGGAGGCTCCCTGCCTCTTGTTTCCTCTCCTTTGCTTTCCTTGGAGTCAGCTTTGGACCACAATAATTTCACCCTAGATGGTATAATACGATCAAAGTTAAACAGCATTCTTCACTGCAGGACATCTCAGAGCTTTTAGCATTACTGCATAATTAGATACTCTAAGCCAGGTGTCCCCAAACTGCGGCCCCCTGAGGCCATTTATCCGGCCCCCCGCTGCACTTCAGGAAGGGGCACCTCTCGGTGGTGGTCAGTGAGAGGAGCACAGTATGTGGCAGCCCTCCAGTGATCTGAGGGACAGTGAACTGGCCTGTGTAAAAAGTTTGGGGACACCTGCTCTAAGCAATGGAGAGCTTCATGACTAAGGGCTTTGAAGTCAGCAGTGAATCAAGTGCCCACAGATTTGTAGGCTTAAGCAGAACATGGGAAGATTGATATTTTTGCATATGCTGTAGCAACTTACTCTTAGAAAACTGATGATGTTGGAAGTATACCACTCTCAAAGGTGTCTTAAAGTACAGGTTATGGTAAACATTTTCCCCCAGTGGCTTCACCTCCTTCCTTCCACTGGCCTTACCCTTCCCCAGTGGAAACATTTTCAAAAACAAAGATAATTTTTTGCTGGTTAACTTTAAAACTTGCCTCAGGGTTAGCTTCATGTAATTTTGCCATTTCCCATCCCCATCCCCACCACATTATCTCATTATTCAAGTTATAAATCAATGTTTTACTTAGACTGTGCAAGAGATTTACAAGTCATTTGAATAAACCTTGCTGAATTAATCTGAATAGCAGCAGTCTGTCTTGATAACTCCAGTGCCAGTATAGTGGCTGTTGCAGACACTATTCAGTAAATGTCCGATGAAAGAAATTGTACTTTTTAAATATTGGTGATGCAATTTTGAAGTGTTATTTGTTCTGGGATACTTTGGAAGTTTACAGTAAGCTTGGAGAGGAGATGGTGATCTTTATATTATGAATACTGGAATGTCACAGATGAAAAATATTAAATTTAGGTGCGTCCACTCCAAAATGCATCACCAGAGTGATAAACACCACTTACTAATTGGTAATAGCTGCAGAGGGTATTCCTGTCAGAAGAAGATTTCATGGTCTTCTAGTGTGAAAAGATCAGTGAACCCTCATGTAGTGATTGGGACTAGATTCAGCTGCATGTAGTCTAAAAACAAAAAAGGCATGAGTAACTTTATCCAAGTTTATTTTTCTCTCTAATAGAAAAGGTCTGGAGATAATTAGTCCATCCTTATGGCTGCTGAAGCTCCAGTTTCACATGCAAAATGTGGACAAACGGCAGAGGAACAAACAGGCTCCTCCCAGTTCAGTCACCTCCTTTGGAGCAGCCTCTCCAAAAATCACTTAGCAAGTATATCATAGGCAAAAACCTTGGCAAAGGCTGGAAAGTGTGTCTTATTCTGGATTGCAGAGTGCCTAGCTGAAAATTAGCCTTCCATTACTAAGGATAAAGCAGAGAGTTGATGTTGGAATAAACACCGGGCAGTCATGGCCCACTTTCTATTCCTTCCTTTGTGTGCAAGCTGACCAAAAGCAACAGTCAATACAGTTTGTTGGAGCGAGAACAAATCTGTCATAGAAGCAAGCGTAGCTTTTTTTTTTTTTTAAATGGAGTTTCACTTTTGTTGCCCAGGCTGGAGTGCAATGACGCAATCTCAGCTCACTGCAGCCTTCCCCTTCTGGGTTCAAGCAGTTCTTCTGCCTCAGCCTCCCAAGTAGCTGGGATTACAGGCATGCGTTACCACGCCCGGCTAATTTTGTATTTTTAGCATAGATGGGGTTTTACTATGTTGGTCAGGTTGTTCTCGAACTTCTTACTTCAGATGATGATCCACCCACCACAGCCTCCCAAAGTGCTGGAATTATGGGCATGAGCCATCGTGCCCGGCCTTCAGCTGTAACTTTTTGAGACACTAAAAAGTTACATGTAAAATCAGCCATTGTGTGTTCCTTAGGAAGCCAGAAAGCTATGCATGTTTTACTCTGCCTTTATGAGTAAAATTAAGTTGATGTCTGGAATTTTCCCCCAAGTATTTTGAGGACTATTATTATGTCAGTATCTAAACATTTAGCACCATCTCATAGTTTAAATCTATTTGATTCTGTTCAGTTTAAGTAAGTTCATAGAATATATTATTATGAAAATGACAAGATTCAAAATGTGAAGTACTTTGCCCTCGCAATCTGGAAGATGTATATTGGCTTTCCCCATGATGATTTCATAGAACAGGTGTAAACATTCTAAATTCATTGACACCTTAAACAACTTAATTCTTCCTTATGGGTCCAAAGGAAATGGTGTTCTCGTCATTTCCCTTGGGTCAGACCCATATCCACCTGGGCATAAATGTCAGCTAGAGGTATGTTTTTAACTAATAATGTCTTCCTACTACTTTATTCTTTAAAGTTACGGAAACATTGAACAAAGGGCAAATGTCATAACAAATCTCAAGGTTTTGCTTGCAGTGTAAGACATCCTAAAAGGCAAATTAAAAATCTATTCAGAGGACAGGAACCCAGGAGGGATGTATTGCAGCAATATTTGCTACTGATCAGGCATTTCTGTTTGAGTAGTATACTGTAATACCCAAATATACAGTGAAGTCCGAAGTCACCGTCTCCATATCCCACTCACTCACTTGTTTAAAAACCTGATAAAGTTACTATGTAGTTTGCCATTAAAAGTAGTACGGAAAAACAGGAAAGGGAAAAAGTGATCCTAGTTGTCTATTAATATCTTTATATATTCTTATTAAATTTATATCTGATAGAAGTTGCTATCCATTGTTTAAAAAAACTTGAAAAATGTAAAATCTTGTTTCATGGTACAGATATAACATCTTAATGGGTATTTGTAGGTAACTGATATTTTTCACACATAAACAATTGACTCTTCTTACTGGACTTTATATCTTGAACAGTTTTTTATCTGTAGCAGACAGGATAGTCAATTTACCTGTCCTCACACCCTGTTTTAATCTGCTCCTGCCATAATCCTGAGTGTGCAGCTGCCATGTGACCCATCTCCAACCACTGATGATTGGATCAGGAAGGGACCCTCAAGCCAGGCTTTAGATGCCCATAGAAATTTGACATTGGATCACAGATTCTCGTTGGTAATTTTTAGGCACCAGAACCCAAAAGTAATACAGAGTTGGAGGCAGCGTGCAGTAGCCCATTCCTGTAATCCTAACACATTGGGAGGCCAAAGTGGGAGGATCTCACTTGAACCCAAAAGTTTAAGACCAGCCTGGACAACATGACGAAACCCCATCTCTACAAAAAATAAATTAGCTGGGTTGGTGGCACACACCTGTAGTCCCAGCTACTTGAGCGGCAGAGATGGGAAGCTTATTCAATCCCAGGAGATCAAGGCTGCAGTGAGCCATGATTGCACCACTGCAGTCTAGTCTGGGCAAGAGAACAGGACCCTGTCTAAAATATACATAGAAAAAGAGCGAGAGGACACAAGCGCACACTGGAACAGTTTTTGTGGCCACATAAACAACACAGAGACAAACTGAAAAGCAAAAAATGAAGCAGACTCCTGAAGTGGGAATCCCATGAGAGCCCGGAGAGACTCAGGTGTGGCAACTTCAGCCCTCAACCTCTGTAATCCATATCTATCCTGGCCTTGGGATTGCTTCTAATAAAGGTTTCAAACAAATCCCTGATTAAAACATGCCGATCATTAAAAGTCTTCTTGGAAGATCATTTTCCATATAAGCTGTGCAGTATTCTATGTTATATGTCCCTAGTGTTAATCATTTACATCATTTACAATTTGATCACCATAAACAATTTTTCAGTGAACATCCTTGTATATACAACTTTGCCTACATACAGAATTTTTTGTTTACTCAATTCCCATAGTGAGAATCAGTGAGGCAGAAGGTAGGCATATTTTCTAAGGCTTTTGATGCATTTGCCAGAATGCCCTCCAGAAAACTTATACTAATTTGTACACCCTGTTAGCAGCCTGTGATCATGCCCAATTTTCCATACCCACCTCTAGGAATTAATCTTTGACAATCTGATGTGTACAAAATGATTTTTTTTTATTTTTCATTTGTTTGTTTGTTTGTTTTTTAAGACGGGATTTCACCATGTTAGCCAGGCTAGTCTTGAACTCTTGACCGCAGGTGATCCACCTGCCTCAGCCTCCCAAAGTGCTGGGATTACAGGCATGAGCCAGCACACCTGGCCAGATTGCTTTTTTAAAATAGACTATATCTTAGAGCAGTTTTAAGTTCTGAGCAAAAGTGAGAGGAAAATACAAAGATTTCTCATATACCCACTGCTCCCATGCATGGATAGCCTCCGCAGTTATCAACATCACCTACCAGGGTGACGTTTGTTACAATTGATGAACCTACATTGACACATTATCACCCAAAGACCATAGTTTAGGGTTCACTCTTGGTATTGCACATTTCATGGTTTGGATAGATAAATAATAACGTATCCACCATTGTAGTGTCACTGTACTAAAATCCTCTGTGCCTTGCCTTTTATTCATCCTTCCCTTCCTCCAGCCCCTAGCAATCGCTGATCTTTATACAGCCTATAGTTTTGTCTTTTCCAGGATGTCGTGTACACAGGTTGAGTATCCCTAATCTGAAAATCCAAAATCCAAAACGCTTTAAATATGAAACTTTTCAGCACCAACATGTTGCCACAAATAAAAAATTTCACACCTGACTTCATGTGACAGGTCATAAACAAAATGCAGTCAAGACTTTGTTTCTGCCAGGCGCAGTGACTCAGGCCTATAATCCTAGCACTTTGGGAGTCCAAGGTGGGCGGATCACCTGAGGTCAGGAGTTCGAGACCAGCCTGGCCAACATGGCACAAGCCTGTCTCTACTAAAAATATAAATAATTAGCCAGGTGTGGTGGCACATGCCTATAGTCCCACCTACTTCTGAGGCTGAGGCATGAGAATTGCTTGAACCCAGGATACAGAGGTTTCTGTGAGCCAAAATTGTACCACTGTACTCTAGGCGACAGAGTGAGACTGTCTCAAAACAAAACAAAACAAAAAGACTTTGCTTCATGCACAATTTTTTTTTTTTTTTTTTTTTTTTTTTTTTTCTTGAGACAGAGTTTCGCTCTTGTTACCCAGGCTGGAGTGCAATGGCGCGATCTTGGCTCACCACAACCTCTGCCTCCTGGGTTCAGGCAATTTTCCTGCCTCAGCCTCCTAAGTAGCTGGGATTACAGGCACGCGCCACCATGCCCAGCTAATTTTTGTATTTTTAGTAGAGACGGGGTTTCACTATGTTGACCAGGATGCTCTCGATCTCTAGACCTCGTGATCCACCTGCCTCGGCCTCCCAAAGTGCTGGGATTACAGGCTTGAGCCACCGTGCCTGGCCCAAAATTCTTTAAAATGTATAAAATTAGCTCTATTTGTATCAGGTATATATAAAACAAATGAATTTCATGTTTAGACTTGGGCCTCATCCCTAAGGTATTTCATAATCTGAAATTGGAAATACTTCTGGCCCCAAGCTTTTTAGATAAGGGATACTTAACTTGTAGTTGAAATCATACAGTATGTAGCCTTTTCAGATTGCATTCTTTTCACTTTATAATATGCATTTAAATTTCCTTCATGTCTTTTCGTGCCTTGATAGTTCATTTCTTTTTTCTTTTTCTTTTATTGGTTTATTTTTTTGAGATAGGGTCTCTGTTGTCTGTTGCCCAGGCTGGAGTACAGTGGTGCAATCTTGGCTCACTGCCTCTGCTTCCTGGGTTTAAGCAATTCTCCAGCCTCAGCCTCCCAAGTAGCTGGGACCACAGGCACACACCACCACGCCCAGCTAATTTTTGTCTTTTTAGCGGACATGGGGTTTTGCTGTGTTGCCCAGGCTGGTCTCCAGCTCCGAAGCTTGAAGTGATTGGCCTGCCTCAGCCTCCCAAAGTGCTGGGAATACAGGCTTGAGCCCTGGGGGCTTTAGCTGTGGCTCAAGCCTGTAATTAGCACTGACTAATATTGCATTGTCTGCATATACCAAAGCAAAAGAAATGACTGTTACGGGGCTGTTATCCAAAATATAGAAAGAACTCTTAGAAATAAGGAAACAACCAATTCATACGTGAGCCAAAGACCTTGACAGACACGTCATTGAAGAAGATATACAGACGGCAAAGAAGCATATGAAAAGATGCTCCACATCATATTTCATCAGGGAAATTGCAAATTCAAATAACTGAGATGCCACTACACATCTATGAGAATGACCAAAATCCAGAACACTGACACACCAAATTACGGTATGGATGTGGAGCAACAGGAACTCTCATTCATTGGGTTGGGTGCAGTTTTCCATGGGAACACCCCATCTCTACCTGTGTAGCTTAGTTTTCCTGTCTATATCTTAGGGTTAGGTGTGGCCAGGGAAGGCTTTACATAGAACATTTGTGCTGGTGGGAATGCAAAATGATGCAGCCACTTTGGATGACAGTTTGGTAGTTTCTTACAAAATTAAAGGGAGTCTTGTCACATAATGCAGCAATCACCCTCCTTAGTGTTTACCCAAAGGAGCTGAAAACCAGTGTCTACACAAAAGTATGCACACAGATGTTCATAGTAGCTTTATTCGTAATTGCCAAAACTCAGCAAATGAATAAATAATGGGTCTGTTTTTAAAAGACTTTTAGATTTTTACTATTGAACATCTTTTCACATGTTAATTTGTCACCTCTTGTTTTGTGTATAGCAATGTTCATATCCTTTACTAATTTTTCTGTTAAAGTCTTTAAACAGAAGTGCCCTTAAAAATCAAATAGGGGCCGGGCGCGGTGGCTCATGCCTGTAATCCCAGCACTTTGGGAGGCCGAGGTGGGTGGATCACGAGGTCAAGAGATCGAGAGCATCCTGGTCAACATGGTGAAACCCCGTCTCTACTAAAAATACAAAAAATTAGCTGCGCCTGGTGGCGCGTGCCTGTAATCCCAGCTACTCAGGAGGCTGAGGCAGGAGAATTGCCTGAACCCATGAGACCGAGGTTGCGGTGAGCTGACATCGCGCCATTGCACTCCAGCCTGGGTAACAAGAGCGAAACTCCGTCTCAAAAAAAAAGAAAAAAAAAAAAAATCGAATAGGGAACTTGCATATCAACATTTTAAATGCACATGTCCTTTGGCTGATCAGTTCTAATATGTGGCATTTATCCTAGAAATAAATTCTTAAAAGAATATAAAGGTACTGAATGATATTCCCTCTCGTATGCATCAATGGGGTTAGTTAAGTAAATTATGGAACACCCATACAATACTACTTAGCTATTAAAGAATAAGCTGATCTGTGAAGCTCTCCAAGTGGTCTTAACCAAAAAGAGTTAGGGTACAAAATCACATTATGCTACTATAAATGTTTTAAAATGTATAAATACTTATTCACTAAACCAAATGTTTACTAAGTGCTACTACGTTGCCGGTAGTGTTGTAGAAAAATATGCACAAAATATAATGGTTAACTCTAAAGAGTGGGACGCTTTTCCTTTTATGGTCGTTTTGCAACTTGAGTTTTTTTTTTATGGTACATATGTATACTTAAATAAAATAATTCGTACAGCTTACTATAATGGTCTTTTTATTGATCTGTCTCTCCTACCCGCCAGTGATAACGCCAAAGACAGACACTCAGCTTTGTCTTTACCACTCAGTTGGTTTTTCGTTGAAATGATGTAGATAAATGTGGGCGTGCTTGGGCCGTCCGCAGGGCCTGGGGTCGGGCGGCGGAGCGCGAGCTGGGCGGGGCGGGAGGTGGCAGCGGGGGTCCTCTCTGCTAACCAGAGAGACGAGCCGCCGTGTTCCTAGAGAGGAAGGGAACCGCCGGATTCCGCGACTCGGCTGTGGGCGCCGCGAGGCCGGAAGCTTGTGTGCGCCGGCCCAGCTCTCGGAGGCGGCAGCAAGCTCCGCCGGCCCCGCGCCCCCTGTCGGCCCCCGCCGGCCCCCGCCAGACCCCCGCCAGACCCCCGCCAGGCTCCCGCCAGCCCCGCCTGCCCAGCTCCCGGAGGCGGCCGCCGGCTCCCGCCAGCCCCGCGGCCCGTGCCCTGAGGAGACCGGCGCCCTCGGCTAGGGAGCCTCGGCCTCTGTGCTCCGGCGGGAGCCTTTCAGAGGTCGGCCAGGGCTTTGTTGTGCGCGTTCCTGCACTTTTCGTCCATCAACAAGCAATTAGATACGCGGGTATCGCGTGCTGGCGCGGTGCTAGATGCTGGGTGTCATCTCAGAAAAGTACGTTCTTGGGCGCGCCTGAGGGTGCTGGCTGCTGGGATCTAGGTGCTCTACGTGCATTCGTGAAGAAGCCCACCAGTGTTTGTTGAAAACCAGGTACGTGCCGGGCTTGTGGAGTCTGTGCAGCGATGAACCCCTGTTCTCAAGCCGGGTGGGGATGGGGTGGGTGATCTGTAATACGTGATGGAGGAGATGAGGGTTGGGTGCAGTTTTCCATGGGAACACCGCATCTCTACCTGTGGCTTAGTTTTCCTGTCTATCTGTTAGGGTTAGGGGTGGCCAGGGAGGGTTTTACAGAGAACTTTTGCCCTGGGCCTTGGGAATTTATCCCTAGAAGGGCGGTCCTGATTGTATAGAGTGGGTAAAAACAAATTAAGAACTTAGCATGTCAGTGACACAAGGAATTTGGGAAGACCGCGGCTTTCTTGAAAGTAGGAACTAAGTCTTTTATTCCAGAGTTAGCTTTATGCCTGGAAAATAATGAAGTGCTCCGCAAATGTGTTTTTTGAGTGACAAACATGTCATCAAAATCCAGTACAGATTAGATCCTGGGGAGTATGAATTTACTTCAACGAGTTTAATGAAAACTTTGTGTTTAATGTGTGTGAGGTATGTTGAATATGGTCAGAATTGTGCTTTAGGAAATATTAACCCAGTGACCCTAGAAGCAAGGAGTGAGGCAGGAATACCATAACAGAACATTATTGTGACAGTGAATGAAAATGATAGTAAAAGAATAAGGAAGGAATGGCTGCAAGAGGCGTTTTAAAGAATTGACTGATTGTATATAGAGGGTTTTAAAAAGATTGAATGCATGAAAGGTGACAGTGATGCCAGTAGAAATGGAGAAATACAGAGTGAGTGCAGCTTTGAGGGACCCTGATCTCAGTTTGGGATCTGTTGAAATTATAGTGCAGGAGAGGCCAAGAGCTGCTGGCATTTCAAGGTGTGGGTTTGGATTGAAAAAAGCAAGCTGGAGCCAAAGATTTGAGACTTCTTAGAACCGAGGTTTATTGTGATTGTTACTAAAGAGATCACAGAGGAAAAAATGAAGAGGGAAAAAAGAACTTGATGCGTGTCTCCTGTTTCACTTATGTATTGTTGCATCAAAAATAAAATTCTAAACTTAAGTGGCGGAAAGCAGACTCAGCTTATTATTCCACAGGATTCCGCAGGTTGACTAGGCAGTTCTGCTGGTCTTACCTGGAGTTACTAATCTAACTATATTCACCTGGAGACTTATCTGAGCCCTAGGCCCAGTAGGGCTTTAGCTTGAGCATTTAGATTCTCATCCACATGACCTCTACATAGCTAGCTTGATCTTCCTGACAGCATGGCAGTCTCATGGCAGTGAGCCAAGAGCTACAGCAGTACTCCCTCTTACAATGTTGTTTCTCCCGTATTCCGTTGGTTAAAGCAAGTCATAGGCCAGAACAGATTCAAGGGAAAGAAAAATAGATGCCACCCGTTGATGAGAACAGTGGCAAAATCTCATCACAAAAGGTATTTGAGGATGGGAGACTTTGGACAGTCTGTTACACCTACATTTAAAGTAAAATATTCAATGAGAGATACACAGACATAGATGACCTTTCAGACCGTATTGTTTGTCCATGAAGGCAGCCATCTGGCTTCTCAGTGGGTAAAATCATGTCTTCTTCCCAGCTAAAGTGCAAGCTGCTCAAGCTTTCTTATTGCTGACCCTTCTTCCCTTATATCCTACATCCCTTACCTCTGGACTCAGCTCTGTTAGTACTAGATCAAGATAGACCTCTGATTCATTTCACTGATAATAGAAGCAAGCAGGCTCAGCTTTTGAACATTACCTACTGTGGGGACAAAATACAAGTAGGTCACATACTGTTTTGTAGCTCTTATAATTTGCATGTTGCTGATCAGTTCTTATGCCTCAGATCTGTATTTCTGAATATAGACCCCCAAGCTGAGTGAACCTTTAGCCTCTAAGCTCAATATGTATGAAGCTTTGCCAGGCCCTGCTCCTGGAAATGAAGATGGCCTTGTGAAAGTGAAGGAAGAAGATCCCACCTGGGAGCAGGTGTGCAACTCAGAGGAGAGCAGCTCCCACACTCAGGAGATTTGCCGCCTGCGCTTTCGGCAATTCTGCTATCAGGAGGCTCCTGAACCCCGGGAAGCTCTGGCCCGACTCCGAGAACTTTGTCATCAATGGCTGAGACCGGAGATGCACACCAAGGAACAGATAATGGAACTGCTGGTGCTAGAGCAGTTCCTGACCATCCTGCCCAAGGAGCTCCAGCCCTTTGTGAAGACATATCCTCTGGAAAGTGGAGAGGAAGCAGTGACAGTGCTGGAGAATCTAGAGACAGGAAGTGGAGACACAGGACAACAGGTGGGAAGAGAATGTGTGTGATGGTATGGGAGAAGAAAAGGGGGACTTGTTTCAGTTTATTTTTAACTTTTTATTTTGAAATAATTTGTAATTTATAAAAGTATTAGAATAGAGAACTCCTGTAAACTCTTCTTCCAAATCTGCCAGTTGTTAACATCTGTTTCGTGAAGTCCCCTTGTTGTGTACCCTCTTGTGAAAGGAAGTGCATTCCCCCCCAATATGCATATGTGTACACACACATACATACATATACACATGCAGTATTTTTTTTCTCAAACCATTTGAGAGTTAGTTGCAGACACTATATCCTTTTACGTCATTCCGTTGCCCAGGCTGGAGTGCAGTGGTGCGATCATAGCCTCATTGCAGCCTTGAACTGCAATGGTGGAAGGCTCAGGCAATCCTCTCACCTCTGGCTCCTGAGTAGCTGGGACTGCAGGTACATGCCACCATTTTTTGTAGAGAGGGTGGGATCTTACTATGTTGCCTACGCTAATCTTGAACTTCTGGCCTCAAGTGATCCTGCTGCCTTGGCCTTTCAAAACATTGGGATTACAGGCATGAACCACCGCACCTGGCCATTCAGTGTGTATTTCTGAAGAGTGAGGACATTCTCTTGTATAACCAGAATATAAATATCAAGTTTAGGGAAATTAAAATTGTTATGATGCTATCATATAACCTTAGTCCTTATTCATATTTTGCCATGTTACCCTAATAGTGCTCTTTATGCTAATTTTTTTGTCTGATTCAGGATACAAGCCAGTATCACATATTGTACTTAGCTGCCATACCTCTAATCTTTGTGAATCTGGAGTAGCTGCTGTCTTTCTTTGTCATGACATCATTGTTTTTCAAGAGTACAGCTAATTTTTTGGAGAATATTCCCTCAATTTGAGTTTGTCTTATATTTTCTCATGCTCAGATTCAGGTTGCATATTTTGGCTATAATACCACAGAGGTAATGATGTATTCTCAGTGCATCAGTTCAGAGGTGCAGAGTGATAATTTATCCCTTTACTGATAAGGTTATAATGGTACCTGTCAGATTTCTCCACTAGAAAGTTACCTTTTGCCCCTTTGTAATTACTAAGTAATTTGTGGGAGACGTTTTGAGACAGGGTACATATCCTGTTCCTCATTAAATTTTCACCAGCTAGTTTAAACATCCACTTGTTTGTTGTTTTTGTTTTTCTGGGGTGGGATCCTTTGCCTGTCTTTTCTGCCTTATTTGCTGCTGTATCCCTAGCATCTAGAACAGTGCCTGGCTCTTAGCATTCAGTCCATATATGCATGCCTTTTCAAAGTAAATCTTTTGTTTTTAGGCCTCTGTCTGTATTCAGGGACAGGACATGTGCCCAATGGTGACAGAATACCAAAGAGTCTCTTTGGAGTGTCAGAGACTCCAGCTCCTGCCTGGGGTAACTACCCTGAAGTGTGAACCTCCACAGCTTACTCAAGAGAACCCACAAGAAGTGAGCGGTGAGTGCTAGAGAGTGACCTTAGTGAGGACACTGGGAACTGGCCACTGACACTCGTACGGCCTTCTTGTCCTCGAGTTTGATACACTGCGAAATGATTACCACAAACTAACATATATCTCACAGTTACCTTTTGTGTGTGTGTGTATAAGAATTCCTAAGATCCACTCTTAGGAAATTTCAAATATATTATACATTATTACTAACTATAGTCACCATGCTGTAAGTTAGGTTTCCAGAACTTATTCATCTTCTAACTGCAAGTTTGTACCCTTTGACCAACATCAGGTTGTATTTTTTTGTCTAACCCTGTATCTGAACAAACTTGAAGACCTGCTTTATTTTACACTGTGCTTTTGAAGCTGGTTTGTTAGTGTGTATGTGTTGTGGACGACTATATATAATAGTTAACAGTGAATCGGGGCAAGGCTTTTTTTTTCCAGCAAACTTTATTCCTTCTAGAAATGAAACAACAGTAATAAAAAGATTCCATAGTGATCCATGATGGAAGCAAAGAAAAGCAGAGCCAAAAAAAAGTGATGTTATTTTTATATTTTTGAGTTAGAATTACCGCATGTGCTCTTCATTTGGTAATTTTGTACTCTGTGTGACTTAGGCAAGTCATTTAATGAATGGGTCATTCATGTAGTCAACAGTTATCTGTTTGATATCTGTGTATACTCTGCGCTCAGCTGTGATTCTTCTCCATGTGCCTAGGATATATGAAGGCAATAATTTGGACCTTCTTGATTATTTTGAGCATTGGAAATAATCTTTTAAAGTACCAGCACAGTGGCTGGCGTTGTGCAGTCATCATCGCCATTCTGATTACTGTTGGTTCTGTGGGATCAGTACCTCCTTACAGTTTTTCTAGTTCATGGCTAACATCTCTTCTCTATTTTTTAAAACATCTTTATTTTCTGTCTCTCTCTTTATCTTCCTTTCTCTGCTTTCCTTTTTCTCCTCTGTCTCATCTCACTGCTCTCAGCATCCTTTCTTTTGTCTCTGTGTTCTCTGCTTTATCTTTCCTTTATCATCTTTTCCTTTATCTGTGATTTTTATTTTTTCTTTATGTAAAAGTGCATGACTGTAAAGCACCTGATGAGTTCATAAATCCCACTTAAGTTTTTGGGTGAGAGACCCTAAAGTTGTAGAATTTTAGAATTTCTGACAGAATGAAAGCGGTTGTGATTCTCTGTCTCACACAGTAAAGTCTACGTCTTAGTTCTTGAGTGTTTAGCAAACATAAGAACTTTGGGGAAAAAGGCTGGGTCTCCAAAAACGGTACCCTAAAGGCCACTGTGTCTCATTTAGGACTCTTGCCTTCTCTCTCTACAGGGCCTGTTTCCCGAGGATCAGCTCATCTCCATGAAAAAAAACACAGAGACAAGGCTGCAATGCCTGTGTTTAATCCAGTCAGGTCCCAGGTGAGCAGGATGCCTAGGCTTATAGGAATGTCAGTAGTGGTCTTTCTCCCTCACCTCGTGTTCCTTGCCCTTATTTTGGCTCACACTCATCCTGCTGAGAGCCATTCAGGTGGTAGAGTTCCTCTGCCTTCACCTTGTTACAGAATATCACAGAGTCTGTTGCATCATTCAAGGATCTTGTATTTACATGCCATTCATTGCTTCATTTCATACCTTGTTTAGGAGGCATGTCCAAATCTAAAGGCATGGGAGTGAGGGATGGAGTGAGGCCCCTGGTTTCAGAAAGTACTCCATTCATCTGATGCTCAGTAACTGATATTTTCTCTTTTGAAGTCTCTGATTTCTTTCCCCAGCCTGAGAACAAGGGCCCTTTCTCATACTACTTTATATTCAGCACATATACAGTTAATGTTTGCTGATAATAATGGAAATTCTATATCTCCAAGGTAATACTTAACATCCTCACAAGATGGACATTTTTTTTTTTTTAATTTTCTCAGTGGTTCATTCATTTTCCTAGTTACTCATTTACAATAAGATTTAAGTCTCCCATTTAAGTCCTCTTGCACTCTTGCACAATGCCCTCACATGAGTTTCCTCAAGACACTGTTTTCATGGGTTTCTCTCCTTGCTCAGTTCTCTTCTATAGCTTCTTTTTTTTTTTTTTTTTTTTTTTTTTTTTTTAGGCAGAGTTTCCCTCTTGTTACCCAGGCTGGAGTGCAATGGCACGATCTTGGCTCACTGCAACCTCCGCCTCCTGGGTTCAGGTGGTTCTTCTGCCTCAGCCTCCCGAGTAGCTGGGATTACAGGCATGCGACACCACGCCCAGCTAATTTTTTGTATTTTTTAGTAGAGACGGGGTTTCACCATGTTGACCAGGATGGTCTTGATCTCTTGACCTCGTGATCCACCCGCCTCGGCCTCCCAAAGTGCTAGGATTACAGGCTTGAGCCACCGCGCCCGGCTCTTTGATGGCTTCTAATTGGTTTTTAATTCTGTCAGACCCAGTTTCTCCTGTTATTAACAAATAATTCCTGAAAAGAAGTGTCTAGAAAATAAAACCTACCCGTACACATTTTGAAAATCAGCATCATTCTCTTAAATGTAATATAATAGTATAATGTAGAAACAAAAAAGTTATTTATTTTAAAAGTAGTGTTTCAGAATGTAAGTACTTGACATGATTATAACTAAGGAAATAAAAACATAGGTGTTTGCACTGAAGTATAATTAGTATTAAGTTAAAATTAGGGAGGAATAAGATGAGAAGTTCAGGAAAATCAAAGGGCAATGATATAGGTGGACAGAGGAATGAAACTGGTATTCAGTCAAAGAATACAAGGCTAAACAGAGAACGTGGGGCACTTAATTGAAGTAGGGCTTAGATGTTGTAAATTGAATTGTGTCCCTCCAAAATATATATGAAAATCTTAACCCCAAGTACCTGTGAATGTGATCTGACTTGGAAATAGGCTCTGTCTCAGTCCATTTTGTGTTGCTAATAACAGAATTTCTGAGACTGGGTAATTTATTTTTAAAAGAAGTTTATTTAGCTCAAAATTCTGTAACCTGAGAAGTCCAAGATCATCAGCCTATCTGGAGGATCTCATGCTGCTTCAGCTCATGGCAGAAGGTGGAATGATGGAGAATCAAATATGTGCAAAGAGACCAAACATTAGAGGCAGTCATCCGTTAAACAGCCGGCTCTTGGAGCTGAGCAAGGGCAAGAATAGAAAGCTTATTCAAAGAAATAACAACAGGCTGGGTGCAGTGGCTCTCACCTGTAATCCAGCACTTTGGGAGGCCAAGGCAGGAGGGTTGCTTGAGACAAGGAGTTTGAGAACAGCCTGTGCAACACAGCAAGACCCTGTATCTAATTTTTTAAAAAAATTTATTTATTTTACTTTAGGTGTATACTATATCTGGCATTTCTCCCCATGTTATCCCTCCCCACTCCCCCTTCCTCCCCACCCCCAATTTCTCTCCCCACCCCCGCAACTGCCCCCGGTGTGTGATATTCCTCTCCCTGAGTCCATTTGTTCTCGTTGTTCAACACCCACCTATGAGTGAGAACATACTGTGGTTGGCTTTCTGTTCTTGTGACAGTTTGAGGAGAAAGATGGTTTGCAGATTCATGCAGTCCCTACAAAGGACATGAACTCGTTGTTTTTTTATGGCTGCGTAGTATTCCATGGTGTATATGTACCACATTTTCTTTGTCCAGTCTATCATTGATGGGCATTTGGGTTGGTTCCAGGTCTTTGCTGTTGTACACAGGGCTGCAGTGAATATACGTGTGCTTGTGTCTTTATAGTAGAACAGTTTATAGTTCTTTGGGTATATACCCAGTAATGGGATTGCTGGGTCAAATGAAATTTCCATTTCTAGATCCTTGAGAAACTGCCACACTGTCTTCCATAATGGTTCAACTAATTTACACTCCCACCAACTGTGTAGGAGTGTTCCTATTTCTCCACATCCTCTCCGGTATCTGTTGTCTCCAGATGTTTTTTTTTTTTTTTTTTTGTGAGATGGAGTTTCGCTCTTGTTACCCAGGCTAGAGTGCAATGGCGCCATCTCGGCTCACCGCAACCTCTGCCTCCTGGGTTCAGGCAATTCTCCTGCCTCAGCCTCCTGAGTAGCTGGGATTACAGGCACGTGCCACCATGCCCAGCTAATTTTTTGTATTTTTAGTAGAGACACGGTTTCACCATGTTGACCAGGATGGTCTCGATCTCTTGACCTCGTGGTCTACCCGCCTTGGCTTCCCAAAGTGCTGAGATTACAGGCTTGAGCCACTGTGCCCAGCCGTCTCCAGAATTTTTAATGATTGCCATTCTAACTGGCGTGAGATGATATCTCAATGTGGTTTTGATTTGCATTTTTGTAATGACCAGTGATGATGAGCATTTTTTCATGTTTTTTGGCCTCATATATGTCTTCTTTTGAAAAGTGTTCATATTCTTCGCCCACTTTTGAATGGGATTGTTTGTTTTTTTCTTGTATCTCTGTTTTAGTTCTTCATAGATTCTGGATATTAGCTCTTTGTCAGATGGGTAGATTGCAAAAATTTTTTCCCATTCTGTTGGTTGCCGATTCGCTCTAATGATTGTTTCTTTTGCTGTACAGAGGCTCTGGAGCTTAATTAGATCCCATTTGTCTATCTTGGCTTTTATTGCCATTGCTTTTGGTGTTTTAGTCATGAAGTCCTTGCCTATGCCTATGTCCTGGATGGTTTTGCCTACATATGCTTCTAGTGTTTTTATGGTGTTAGATTTTACATTTAAATCTTTGATCCATCTGGAGTTAATTTTAGTGTAAGGTGACAGGTAGGGGTCCAGTTTCTGCTTTCTGCACATTGCTAGCCAGTTTTCCCAACACCGTGTATTAAACATGGAGTCCTTTCCCCATTGCTTGTTTTTGCTGGATTTGTCAAAGATCAGATGGTTGTAGATGCATGGTGTTTCTTCTGGGGTCTCTGTTCTGTTCCATTGGTCTGTGTCTGTCTTGGTACCAGTACCATTGCTGTTTTGATTACTGTAGCCTTGTAGTATAGTTTGAAGTCTGGCAATGTGATGCCTCCAGCTTTGTTCTATTTGCTTAGGATTGTCTTGACTATGCGGGGTCTCTTGTGATTTCATATGAAGTTTAAAGTGGTTTTTTCCAGTTCTGCAAAGAAGGCATTGGTAGCTTGATGGGAATAGCATTGAATCTATAGATTACTTAGGGCAGTACGGCCATTTTCACAATACTGATTCTTCCTAACCATGAGCATAGAATGCTTCTCCATCTGTTTGTGTCCTCTCTTTTTTTTTTTTTTTTTTTAAGACGGAGTTTCGCTCTTGTTACCCAGGCTGGAATGCAATGGCGCGATCTCGGCTCACCGCAACCTCCGCCTCCTGGGTTCAAGCACTTCTCCTGCCTCAGCCTCCTGAGTAGCTGGGATTACAGGCATGTGCCACCATGCCCAGCTAATTTTTTTTTTTTTTTGTATCTTTAGTAGAGACGGGGTTTCACCATGTTGACCAGGATGGTCTTGATCTGTTGACCTCGTGATCCACCCGCCTCAGCCTCCCAAAGTGCTGGGATTACAGGCTTGAGCCACCGCGCCCGGCTTGTGTCCTCTCTTATTTTGTTGAGCAGTGGTTTGTACTTCTCCTTGAAGAGGTCCTTTACATCCTTTGTTAGTTAAGTATTCCTAAGTATTTTAGTCTTTGTATCAATTGTGAGTGGAAGTTCGCTCTTGATTTGCTGTCTGTCTGTTATTGGTATATAGGAATGCTTGTGATTTCTGCACATTGATTTTGAATCCTGAGACTTTGCTGAAGTTGCTTATCAGTTTGAGAAGATTTTGGGTTGAGACAGTGGGGCCTTCTAGGTATACAATCATGTCATCTGCAAATAGAGACAGTTTGACTTCCTCCTTTCCTAATTGAATACCTTTTATTTCTTTTTCTTGCCTGATTGCTCTGGCTAGAACTTCCAATACTATATTGAATAGGAGTGGTGAGAGAGGGCATCCTTGTCTAGTGCCTGATTTCAAAGGGAATTTTTCCAGCTTTTGCCTGTTCAGTATGATATTGGCTGTAGGTTTGTCATATATAGCTTTTATCATTTTATGATACGTTCCATCAATACCTAGTTTATTGAGAGTTTTTAGCATGAAGTGCTGTTGGATTTTATTGAAGGCCTTCTCTGCATCTGTTGAGATAATCGTGGTTTTTGTCTTTGCTTCTTTTTATGTGATGGATTACATTTATGGCTTTGCATATGTTGAACCAGTCTTGCAGCCCCAGGATGAAGCCTACTTGGTCGTGATGGATAAGCTTCTTGATGTGCTGTTGTAGTCTGTTTGCCAGTATTTTATTGAAGATTTTTACGTCAATGTTCATCATGGATATTGGCCTGAAGTTTTCTTTTTCAGTTGAGTCTCTGCCTGGTTTTGGTATGAGGATGATGTTGGTCTCATAAAATGAGTTAGGGAGGATTCCCTCCTTTTG